TCAAGTCCAAGGAGATTCAAGTTTGATCGATCAGACAAGTAGCCGGTTCTGGCCTTTTCCACTCCGTTGAATGCAATTTTGCAATTTATTTTCTCCGAACAACTTCAGCACCCCACCGGATGCATTGTGAGCGACTTTGTTGGAACCAATCATCTTCGGCTTCTTTATGTGCTTCCAAGTGTTCTTGGAAATGATCGTTGTATCTGATGCCGTATCGAACTGTAGCCGGGTTGGGATTCCGTTGATAAGCACAGTGATAAATCGGCGGCGTGTTTTAGAATCGCTGTGAAACGTAGCAATCACCGATAGTGATTCTGCGTCAGGTTTTCTGAAATTCTTCCTTCGGTAGGACTGCTTCATATTCCTTGACCGGGACTGATGGCAAAAGTCTTCCTTGTGGCCGCGTTTATGGCACTTATCACAAATATGATGCTTGAATGGACAGTATCGTGCGAAAAGCCATTCACCACATGACCAACAAGGTGTAGGCGGCTTGTTCGGCTTTCTGTTGAACGACTTATTCGAGCCAGACTTTCTTGCTTTTTGCACAGCATGAACAGTATCGGCAATTGTGGGGCGACTCTGCTCAATCATAGCCGTGTCGTGTTTCAAGGTAATTAACCGTTTGCATTCGCCTACAAGAGACTTCAATGTCAAATCTGGGTCTTGATCCAACTTAGAAAGGAGCCGAGTGCGGAGTTCCGCGTCGCGTGGAGACTGTAAAGCACTGACAAATATTAAACACTTAAACTGGTCATCCGTCAAATAGCGTAACTTGAAACGTTCACATTCACGGTTAACCATGTCTGCTAGTGCCCCATAATCGTCTGTATCATGCTTTACAATTTTGGACATTGATAGCGAATGCTAAACAATGATGTCGACTCACCAAAAATTTCTTTGCGTGTTGCCACTGCTTCGTTGAAAGTGATGTCCTTCGGCTTTTTGGGCAATATGTGGTCAAGGAATCTTGTATGTTCATTCGTACCGAGCTTGCGGAGCAAAAGACGCACTTTCCATGAATCATCTTGACGGTTGAAATCCGTCTGGAACATATCCTCCCAACGTTTGAACCACGCCTCGAAAGTGCATTCGGAATCAGCATCATAATGAAATTCAGTGATTGAATTCGTAAGAAGATCAAGTGAAACAGCCTGCGTGTCCCGTGTAGCTGCTCCGTTTGATTGTACGTTTAAGCACTGCGTTAAACTTTCAATCAGTTTCATTTGTGCTTCCATCTGGGATTGTTGCTGAAGAAACAGCTTTTGAAAATGTTCGGTTTAAAAATTTGTAACATTTCCGTGCTTGTCCGTCGCCATTGTTAGATCTTCACTTTTTTCGCGCCGAACTTATCCAACTTCGATCAAACGACTCCTGAAAACTCGTGCATTTACCTGTGCTTAACTCCGACACAAAAGTTTATTGTGACATTTCAACTGGTAAGCCCAGACCTTTTGTTTCACATTCATTTCGACGAGCCATTTTTGATCATTTTCACGGTCTATCACATCCGAACATCCGATCTATTGTAAAGCTCATTACTGACCGAGTCATCTGGCATAATATGCATTCAGACATTCGATAGTGGGCTAAACAATGTCTTAATTGCCAGAGTAGTAAAGTTCACCGCCACACTGTTACTACCTCAGGTGTTTTTTACTCCCTGACGCACGTTTCAAACACGTTCACGTGGATATAGTTGGCTCAATACCTCCCTCCGACGGTTTCACTTATCATTTGACATGTGTCGACCGTTTTACCCGTGGGATATTAGCTGTGCCTCTAAGTGATATATCCTCTGAAACAGTTACTCGTGCTTTCATTGAATCGTGGATTTCATTCCTCGGTGTGCCAGCCATTATCACTACTGACAGAGGATCTCAAATCAGTTCAACCCTTTTCCGTGATTTGAGTCGACTGCTCGGTTGCACTCATTTTCGGACGAGTGCCTATCCCCCTGCTACCAATGGCCTTTTCGAACGATTTCATCGACAACTGAAAACTGTCATTACAGCTAGTTTGCGTGATGCCCGTTGGTCTGAACACCTTCCAGCAATTCTTCTTGGTATTCACAATACCGTCAAAGAAGATATTGGATATTGCCTAGATGAACTTGTCTTTGGCACAACCCTCAGAATCCTAGGCGAGATGATACTAGATTCACGAATCACCAGGGAATTGAATCCTACGTCTTATGCTGAACGCCTGAAGTACCATTTTCGATCTATTAGACCGACTCCACCTCGACTAAACACGCGCGAGCAGTGTATGCCTCCTGACTTACACACTTGTCCATTCGACTTTATTCGAATGGATGCTGCTCGAAGATCCTTGACACCGCCTTATGAAGGTGCATTCAGGATCTTATCGCGGAAACCGAAATACTTCGTTCTGGATAAGAATGGATCTAAGGAGTTTGTGAGCATTGATCGTCTTAAACTCGCATACGTCGAGTCGAGGTTAGATAGTTCAGAATCAACCTCAACCATCCACAACCCTCCTGTGCCTGGGCCATTGCCCACTGACAAACGCATGACCAATTCCCATACCACGGAATCCCTGTGCCCTCCGGCCTCGAGCAGCTCTTCACACACACGTTCTGGTCGTGTTTCCCTTCCGCCCAAGCTTGTTCAATACACCTTGTCGAGCGTTTCTTCCCAGTGCACGCTCTAGGGAGAGAGTACTGCAGCGATCGTAAATAACTTGCTTATTTTTATTTTTACGCTTCCACATTTCGCCGCAGTTCATGTACAGATTTATTTTAATTAACTGTATTTACATAACCACTGATTCAAGCTGGTCTTGACGTCGTTCTACCTTGGTTGCCGCCGGTTTGTTATTGTGATTGTGTACTCTGCCGCCTGACTGATCCATCGCCGGGACACACATGCTCCTACCTCTGCATAGCTTACGGTTTTACCGTCGTCAGACACTGAAGCGCATCAGGATCTCTTTGTGTAAGGTGAACCTAACCTGTAACTAACGTTACTCACGTTACCGGTTCCCGACACGCTGCTGATGCAGATATGATTCATTGCGTTCGTGGATACGGTTTCTTTGTACCAAGAGAAATATCTAAGTTACAATTCAGAAAGGAATAAAATGTGGAATGAAGAACAACGCGTTTTGTCCTACTGATCTTTTTATAGTGGATGTAGTAGGCTATGGTGGACATCCATGACATCATGGGAAAAGTAGTGATGTTTGCGAACTGTAATGGATGTGCCTAACAAGGCCCTCACTTCGGAGCTGACCTCGGTCAGAGCTTCACGGCTCCCTGGTTGGGGTCCAAAAGACGGTGAACACGTTTGGCCGGATACAATTGCTGACATGGCAAGGAGCCGACCTCAGTGGCGTTCCTGCTGTGAGTTTCTTTGTCCCTCCCTATCCCTTTTAGCCTCCCCTTCCACCTACGATCTCATTTCGTAGCATAAAACATAATATTTTTTTCTTTTTGCCTACTAGCCGGCTAGTAGCTTACCGGAACGATGCCCATCCGCTGCTGGTAGCTCAGCTGGCATGCAACTGTTGTATTTATTTTCCTTTTCCGCTATGTATTGCGGCACAGTAGCTGAGGTGTTCCCCACCTCTAGCTGACGTGTATAATGATGATGATGGATGTGCCTAACAAACCTCTTGAAAACATGCATTGCCACAGATGACTACGGTCGCTGCGTACATAGTTCTTCAATTTTGTTAAGACTATCGTTGTTGCTCTACCAGTTGACGAAGAGTGCGCGTACATTAGAAGCCTTCCTCCATGGAATGGAAATCTGCCTAATTATCCAAAAGTAGGTTTTTCGAAGCGTAGTGGACAAGATGGATTTACACGCTGGGCTTGATCAGCGCCTTACGAACAGTGTAACGCTATCAACCGTAGTTATACAAATCCTCCTAAAATCCTGTAAACGTTACGGTAATACATCACGCGCGCACACACATAGTTGGCGAGTGATTGATTTCGGCAGCATCAATGCCGACCAGTCATCTATGGTGTGTAATTTATAGTAGCATATATGGTTGGCGGAATCCGGTTTCGAATTTGCCTGTCACTTTGGAAAGCCACCGGATGCCTGCGAGTACAGAGGGACTATGGGTGGCTTGCGCTGCCCCACCCACAGCGCCAATCACACATCCCGTATCCAGTGTAAACCCGAAGGAATAAGACAGGGAGGCATGTGGATGGAAGCAACACTTCATCAAAGGATCCGGCCCACACTCCACAGGTAAACACAAGCACGCTGTATTTGGGAATCAAGCACACACAAGGCGGTGGCTGGACCATAGTCCGCTCCACACTGAGTGGATGGAAACACTCGTCGAGCCTAGCACGACCACAAGGACCGTGCACCCCGTCCCCTCCAGTAACGGCCAACTGTCTCCTAAAGCCAGTATGGACGAGGTAGTGGGTAATAGACAGGTAGGCATGCACATCAAGCGCAGCCACACTGGGGATGTCAAACAGCAGCCAATCACCTGAAATGACATTATCAAATAAAATATATCTGTTAAAGAATACGGCTATGCAGACTTAACTTTCTTAAACTAGCATATTAAGTAAGGTGGTTAGCAACGAATCCGCGATAAGTACAAAATGTCCAGAAGTTACACAAAAATGCTATAAACGCAATAAAGCTAACGAAGATAACCACAATTAGTGTAAGCAACGAGTGCAAGTTAATAGAAGAGTATTCAGGTAGGCAGAACAAACCAAATAGTGGAATGAAATTTATCCAGCTTAAAATAACCTAGTTTAAGTGTAAGTTGATTAAGCCCAACTACGGTGAAGAAGCATCATGAGTGCAACATCAGCCTCAGCATAGGGCATTAGTAGCATATATACCGGAAGCACAAAAGTTGAACAAGGCCAGATTGCGGCGACGGAGGGTGGGATATGTAACGTCATTCCATGTGTACCATCGAGAGCACACATTGTGGTGGCACATGGTTACCAGACATTATTCGCGTTAGAGTGATAGCCAGCTGAGATTCGGACTTACGTTGCCCGTTCTGCATCGTTCTGGTTCAGTCTACTTGGGCTCTTGTCCAGTTGCAAGTATTCCACAAAAGAAGGCAAAACGGGCACATAGGTAGGCCGAATACCGTTAGGATGGGGTTCCGAACTCAACGGGTTATTCGATCCATTCTTGTAATCAGAGTCACCAGCACCGGTTACTTGTGAAGCAAACTCATGATATTCATCCGGATTTACTTTGATGGCTTCCAACCGGATCCAAACAGAGAGTTGTCCACGACGACGAGGAGTTGAACCGTCAGTTTCACCTGAATTAACAAAAAAGTGTTAGACATGAGTCGATTCAAATAAATGACATGACCCCAAAAAGTCACAAAATATTTATTAGATAAGGCTAGGTAGGAAGTATGTTACGAATGGATAGGGCCCGCTGCTTTTAATGGCGTTCTTTTATCTCTCAGTCTTAGCTTCGATAAAGCACGTTTTCCGAAGAGTGCGATTCTCGCCCTAAATAAAAGAAAACGGAGCACTTCAAACAAGTCTGTTCTAATCTGGCTCTAAACTAATAGACGAACCACAACCAGAAACGAACAGGGTAATTAATCCCCTAGGATTTGTAAGTATAAAGACCGTCAAATAAGGATTCACTGGCATAAATGGTACGGCGTTCTTGTGTATGAGCAGTGCAAATAGGATTTTCTGGTGGAAGAAAGTGGAAGAAAGTCATAAATCGATGTACGGCAGCCCTGGTTGCCTATGGGTACACAGGATGTGCAGCTGAACAGTTAACATTCCGAGAACGAAAAATAGGTTACAGAGGAGTTTCGTGTTAAAGAAGTGCCGCGCAGATACTCATCAGTAAGCAGTATGTATTAACATCAAAGATACCGACATTTTTAGCGTCATGACAAGGGTCGGGACAAAGGGAATGAACTGGCTCCTTTATACTAAAAAGATGTGATCAAAACGGAGATTGAGGGGGTGGAAGCAAATGTATATCTTAAAGGTACAAAGCGCTCGGTAACACGCGTCAGCGTATTTAGAAGCCTTTGCATAGAGGATGGATCTGGCTTGAACAGAACTAATCAATGTGCCATACACTTGATAGCCGACATACCAAAACCGTCGCAACGAGACTGGACTTTAAAGTGGTGCGACGGTTTGCGTAACGCCTTGACCCATTGAGCTATATTGTGTGGTGTCTCCGCGCGCAGTGAAAGCTACTCCGACCAGGTTGGTCAATAGTTGGAGGTCAACCAAACACAGTCTCCTGGTCCCCCGGGTTAGGGGTTTGTAATGAGATGTGAAAATAAATCGTTGCAGCTTCCCCGCTGCCTTGCGGACAGGTTTTGGAGCCAGACTTTGGATGAGCACACATATCGTCCTCCTGTCTAGCGCTGGGTGCACTGGCAGTGTTTCAGTCCAAATACAACCATGACAATTGCTTTAAACTCGAACTACATCCTGCATAGGCCGTCACGTAGATTATCAAAGGTCGACTTATCTGCTACATACAGCAGGGCGGATAGGCGAAAACATGCTACTGCTGGCACCTCCCTTCTTTCTTCTCCACCTGTTTCACTTACTCCCATCCCGACCCTTAATTCTAACATTACTATGACCCCAGCTCCATCCACTGTAATTATATATATATATATATATATATATATATATATATATATATATATATATATATATATATATATATATATGAACATCATCATCATCATACACGTTAGCTAGAGGTGGGGAACACCTCAGCTACTGTGCCGCAATACATAGAAAAAAGGAGAAAAAAAGCAACTGGTGCAAGCTGACTGAACTACCGGTAACGGATGGGCATCGTTCCGGTAAGCTACCAGCCGGCTGCTGTGAGCCTAAAAGAAATTATTATGCAAAATTATATAAGGCTAAATAATGAGATCGTGGTTGGAGGGGGAGGCTAAGAGGGATGGGGTGGGACAAAGAAACTCACAGCACGAACGCCACTGAGGTCGGCTCCTAGCCATATCAGCAAGTGTGTCCAACCAAACGTGTTCATCGTCTTTCGGACCCCAACCAGGGAGCCGAGACGCTCCAACCGAGGCCAGCTCAGAAGTGAGGGCCTTCATTCCTCTGGACCAAGTCATCGATTGGCCAACGCTCCTCTTCTTCCATCCACACCCCCAGCGCGTAAACAACACAAGTCGCGGAAGTCGGTGGGCTGGCATGCGTAACACGTGGCCGAGCCATCGGAGCCTGATGCGTGAAATAACGGTGCTGAGCGGTTCATTTCCTTTTCCTGTGGCATAAACAAGGCGTCGAACACGCTCGTTGCTCACACGGTGTTCCCACCAAATGTGAGCTAACTTACGAAGGCACCGGTGGTCGGACGTAACTAGCCTCTTCAGGTCCGCTGCTTTAAGCGGCCAGGTTTCACAACCGTACAGTAGGGTCGAACGTACTGCTGCATTGTACACTCTACCCTTCAAAGTGAGAGTGATGTCGCGCCGGCGCCATAAGTGGCGAAGGTTAGCAAAAGCGCCCCGAGATTTTGCTATACGATTCGTGATTTCATCTTCAATCCCACGGGCGCTGATACAACTTCCCAGGTAGTTGAATTTTTGAACGACTTCTAGCTGATCCCCACCAAGGGTCAGCGTCGCCACGTTGGGTCAACATCTAAGAGAAGACGAATAGGCTTTATTTGTAATCATCATCAGCACAGCGCTTCGTTAGTTGGTTGCTTCCGATGCTACTTACTAACCCAAACAAATAAGTCGGTTGATGAAGTACGCGTGCCACATCGTGATTGCAGTTGCTCTGTATGTGTGCTTGCGTGTTGAGTATCCGCATTTCAAGGAATGATTGTTGTGAGTGATCCCCGGTGTGGCTGCGCTTGATGTGAATTTTCACAAAGTACCTACGTATTTATCGGTCTAGTATTCACCACCACATCCATACTGGCTCCAGGAGACAGTCGGTCATTAGTAGAGGGGAGGGCGAACACCGTGCTCCTGAACTTGTTAGGCTCAAAAAGTGGTTCCATCCTGTGTGAAAAGAGCTACACTCCAACCACCGACTTGTACACGGCTAGTACGCATGATTCCCCAATTGAACTGACTGGAATGTTGCTTTTATGCGTATTGAAGAAGCGTGGGACGGATCCATTGATGAAACGTGGCTACCATCCACATACCACCCTGTCTTATCCTTCCGGGTTTACACTGGATATGGGGTGCGTGAGTGGAGCTGTGGGCGGTGCAGCGCAAGCCACCCATAGTATTTCGGTAGGCGCAGACGTCTGGTGGCTGTCCACATGGAAGCAGCAGTGACAGGCGAATCCAGAACAGGATGACGCCAGCCATATATACGTAAAATATTCAGCGAATCACGGGAAATGCTGGTCTCCAGCAAAGCAAGTATTCCCATTTATTAAGAAGAATCAGGAGCAGAAATTAATTCATTGGGAATTCTTTTCGGTAAACGCTCGTCAGACCCAAAGATTTACATAGCAGTGATCGTGTGTAGAAAGCGTCAAAGCGGGCTGGGGATGGGTTTCTAACCTGTTCGAAAGAGGCAAAGTCGATAAATTAAGAGATGACTACATATGGTAAGGCAAATGAACTGAAGGAACATGAATACACAAACCTCAGTAGTCTGAAGTAAATAGCAAAGGTAACAACCAGATAACTAAGTAGCAACGTCTGTTGGCAACGGTAGTAGTATGGGCCATATGAATAGTTTTTGCACACCTACTTATGGCCTCAGATGGTGGCTGTAAAAGGCCTCGGCAATGGGCAAGATTTGCTTTTGCAATCTTTGCGACAAGCGTTCAGACAGTGAGTGGATGACTTTGAAGTCATTCTCAGAAGCCGCATGGCCAAAGTTACGGAGGTGCGACATTATTAAGGATCTCATTTTGCATTTGTAAAACCACACCGAAATGTGCTCACGAATCCTCTAAAATAGGCGTCTCTGAGTGCGACCCACGTATCGTACACCACAGGAGCATAAGTACTGATAAATGAGGATTGAACGGGCCAACGAGGTCAGTTCATCTTTCGGTGGTACTGCAAGCAATGACTTGTTGTGGTGAACTATTGCCAAGCGGGTCGCGAAATAAGTTTTCTCAATAGCATCCTTCAGGTGTCGAGATAAGATGTCGGCTGCAGAATTCGGAAACCGATTGCCTTTCCTGAATGTAAAAATTTGTTCCGTAACTTGGACGGATCATGTGACAGAAAGCTTCACAGAAAGCATACATGAACTGGGCAGTACACTAAGTTTCACAGCGCAAGAGGAATTTACTCCAATCTCTCGCCTTCAGGGCGCGCAGTGCTTGCACTCCAAATACCGTCAACGAAGTAGGACAGAGAATCAGCGGCACCCCTAGGGAAAATGGTTTAATTCAGTTGAACAACTATGATCCGAACACCGAAGTGCGGTGGATTCAATTGCCACTAATCACACCGTAGGTATAATAATAAATAACACCGGTAGGATAGTGGGGTTGGGTGCAAATATAATGTAGAGAAAATGGGAGCACGAAGGAGATGCGTTAGACAAAACAAGATGGACAGAAAATTGACAACCTTAAGGAAGAAGCCGAATACAGGTACGCTACTGACTTTGTGACTGCGCCATGTTTGACACCGTTTCTAATCATTGCTGTGGATCATCCCGAGGCCCCCATTCACGAAGGCACACTCATCAGCCTGACTAAGTATATCAGTCAATTTCTTCACGCTCCTATGCCATGTCATGGACTGGCCACCTCGCGGTTTCGCCCAATTTGATGCGGCCGCGGCGTATAATGCACGTCGATCAGCGGGATACAGAGGACATGACCTAGCCAACGCAAGCGATTAAGATTCAGCAAACACTAGAGAGAGGCACCAGCAGGCTTCTTGCCGAAAACCAACTGACGGACCTCAGCATTACTCACTCGGTGATCCCACAATACGCGAGCAATAGTCCGCAGCATGGATGGTCGAACACGGACAAGCGTTTTATGTCATCGCCGCGAACTGGCCAGTTCTTTGGTCCACACAGTAACACAGGCCTTATCGCAGTGTTATACACACTACCTTCGATTGACAGGCTGATATCACGCCGTCTCCATAGATATTTGAGTCTCTGGAAAGCCACACGGGCCTTGCTGATACGCGAAGTAACTTCCTCAGTGATGTGACCACCAGAGGTGAGACAGCTACCAAGGTAAGTGAACCGATCCACTACTTTTAGTGGCTGTTCGGGAATGCCTAAAACCGGAGGTGTGTCGACCCAATGCTGCAACAGCACTTTGTGGTGTGAAGGTGCAAAACAC